CGGAATTTCAAGCGTGGAGATGATGTGATACCCGATCTCCGTGATCAGTCTGTCAATATGGACTTCGATTTTGAGAAAGAAATTGAACCCGATTCGACGCAACCCGTAGAAGTGTCCGCACCATCTGAAAAAGGTGGTGAGGAAGCGACGAAAGGTGTTGAACGCGAAGCCGACAAGTCAAAGATGGGTCTTCCGTGATGAAGTTTCATTGGCTTTCATGAAGCAAGTTGATTCGGTGGAATGCAGTCGTGAATTCGCGTTTTTTTGCGGTGCAAAATTTTTTCACGATTTTACGATAATGTTGAAGAAGTGCGTGAACTGGTGATAACTTAATTGCTGAGGCGCGACGCGTCCCTGTTTCTTTTTTCGTTGCCCTCTTTCTACGGAAATATTGCAGATTTAGTTTTGATTGAATCATTCGAAAGTGAAACGTTTCACGTTATGTTTGGTGCCATAGGTTTACGTCTGTGAGTTTCTGACTGACGATGAACGCGTTTTCCTGAATACCGTATTTACAAGAATATCCGACGCTTTTTCACATTTTAGGGCACACAAAGCCGGAGTTGGCCTTGAGAACGGTTATTTGTGAATAGTACAGTATCTCCTCAACTCATTGAACGTCGTTTTGCTGCTTGGGATAATTTCAGACTGTGATGCGAGATGAAGGCGAAAACAAGTCAAAATTTTACATGTGAGAAACCATCGGTTTTTTGTTTTTTTTTTGCTGAAAATAGCTTTCGTTGGACGCATACTGACAACTCTTCTGCTTAACATCTCAAAATGACCTTGAATGAAATGAAACTGAGCCGTTTCTGTGGTTCTTCCGATCGTATTCGAACTTTGAAGCGATACTGTTTCAAAATTCGTTCACTGTATAAAACTTTTGAGTGCAGCAATGTATCGATCATGTGTTCAGGCATGTGCAATACTGTCTTACGTTGGCCTGGAAATTTATTCTGTTGTTACTTGACGGAAAACTTGAGAAAACTTGGTGTCAGGTTACATTTTGTGAATACGGTACAGGTATTTCTAACTTGTTCGTCGTTCTAAGGTTGAATTGTTTCCCTCTGCAACATCACCTCTTTTCCCCCCGCGTTGAAGCCTTTAGCTTTTCGAGCGTTGATATCGTCGAAGTTTCATCTTGAGGAATCCTTTTCTCGTGTCGACAACGCTGCATTACCATTTGATGATCTGAATCTTGCGTGAACATTTTTAAGATGCTTTATTTTTATGATCAATGGTGTTGGTTCTTTTCCGTTGCAGAGTCGAGTTTTATTTTTGCCTACACGTCATGGGACCGCTAGGGTTTCTGGCGACGTTGTTTGTGTTTGTTGCGACGGCGTTTGCGCAGTATCATTGGCAAACGCGCGAAAGGTACCGGAAATGGCTTCCTGATATCATCAAAAATCGACAAGACACGAAAACAACGTATATTGTTCGAATCCGCCACGCAAATAATACCAATGAGACCATCACTTTCCATGGACCTCCGGGTAAATATTTTTGAACTACGAATCTGCATAAAACTGTCAGGAGGAAAACACCCTGTACCCGAACACTCCGTGAATAATGCGTCGAATTTTACTGTATTTCAAAATTTCTCTACGGTTTAATTTTTTCAGGGTGTAGGACTGCATTACTGTATTTTTGAAAAGACATACAGTATTGCAGTGCCTACTGTGTCCTTGCATTGGGACAAGGGCCTTTTCTAGTAAGGGATATTGCCCTTTTTTTATTGTGAACATTAATACAGTAATTGCCAATTCTGAAGATAATTTCCTTTTTTCTTCAAAAAAAATTTTGATAACGATCGAAACAAGATGACTTGAATTATCTTTCTATGGAATCGCGGAAATTTCTATCGTTGCGATGAGATGTATTTCATGTTTTTTTTTTTTTTTTTTCCTCAGGTCCTGATGAAACCCCGGGTCCGGTAAAATGGGTGCGTCCGTATTTTGATTGTGGGCGATCGAACAAGTGGATTTTCGGAGCGTCTGTACCCGTTGCCGATATTTATCCAAGGCATACGTCATTTCGGCACATCGAGTACCCCACGTTCACTGCAGTGTCAGTGATGGAAATGGATTTCGATCGTATAGACATCAATCAATGTCCTTTGGGCAAAGGAAACCCCGGTCCGAATGTCTTTGCCGGCACGGACTTTTGCAAGAAGGAAACAACTGAGGTGAGCTTTTTTTTTAGTTTCTATATACTGTACAATGCTGCATATTTTTTACGTTCACGTGAAACTTGGATTGATTTCTGGATACCAACATTCCGTCGACGTGGGCAGGAAAATGGTTCATTGTTTGAACGTGCGAGGGGTTTCTCAGAAGTGTTGCGAATAGCTTATGAGACTTTGTTTTCGTTAGATTAAACTTATCTACCCGATTTTTGCACTTTTATGATGCATGATATAGCAGAGCTGTTTCAATTCATCCTGTACAAGTGCAAACTGGGACGATTTGTTGTGTTGATCAGAGCCGGTTACAAATTTGTGTGCGAAAAGAGGCTTTTTATGCTTACTGAAGGACTTTCTCGCTTGTCTTTAAGGGAATAAGGGAAATATGAAAAATGTCAGGAAATACTCAAAAAATTTCTGAATTTTTCAAGTGTATTTTTGTTCCATGGTGTCAACGGTTTTTTGATCAATTCGTGGGTTATCAATTCTTTTCCGGAAATGGAAGCCTCCAATGAAAATGTTCAACAGCTGTTCACGTTACTGTTGAAGACAGTTGTGGACGCATGAAGTAATTGTAAAAGGGTATTGGTGCTGGAAAATTCCTGCGCCGAAGTGTTGATCTTTTTAATAAATTAAGTGTTTGGAGCTTTCAATCGCCTTTTATGTCATGCTCACTATAGTTCAGCGTTAGAGGTATTCTGAATAATTTCTGATAGAATATCATCAACCCCTTTTATGAATCATCACTTACGTGAATCAACAAAATTCATCACCAATGTTTCATCCACCGACGAGGATAGTATGTTGATGACTCGTAGTACTTCTGAGAAACTCCCTGGGATTGTAATTTATTTTCGTTGCTGCCCTGAGAATTTCCGCGCGTTTGTTCGCGAACACTTCTTTCTTAGAAGAGAGGTTTTATATTAAAAATATTGTATTTCAATTTTTCGTTTTTTATGCGTTTAGTGTGAACCACTTCACGGGTATGGCTTCAGACGAGGTGGATACCAGTGTCGGTGCAATCCAGGTTTCCGGCTTCCTAACGTCGTTCGTAGACCTTATCTGGGACAAATCTTGGAACGCGCTACTGCGGCAGAATTCGAGAGGGGATTCAACTGTGTTCCGATCGGCTGTGAGTCTTATCTGTCTCTTCAGATCTGAATATCCTTGATTTAAGCCAATAATGTTGACAATAACTTTCAACTCTCTACAACAAATTCTTCAAAATGACGCGTATTTCTGAAATTCCTCTTGAGTTTGTTGTGCCAAGAGTTTCCCTGAATTTTTTTTATCGTGACGTGATGGATTTTATTTGTTTTATTCATTTTTTAATTATGGGATTTCCTGAGGTAATGTTTTTCTCGGGTCTATCTTGTATTTTCAGTCATAATGAGTCTCCTTTTGGACTGGAGCGAAATGGAGCCACCACTGCGTCGGAAATACATGGAGCTTTTTGAGGTGAACGCGAAAACATATACGGCGAAGCATAACGATTCGTTGCCGTACAAAACTGCGGCGACTCGAAAGCCCCTGTATGGGAACAGCACGCAAAATACTTATTTGAATCGTTACCTGGGTCAACGGCAACAACAGCAACAGCAGCAACAACAACAACAACAACAACAAGTTGTTGTTGTTGTTGTTGTTGTTTTGGGGTTAATACCGAAGAGTTTGCAATTAGGGCGCATACTACAGTTGGGCAACTCTCTACTAGAGCTCCTCCTGCTCCTTTGGCAAAGACGCTTTTTCTGAATGTCCAAGGTGGAGTACGTGCAGAAGATCATGGATTTCGTGACGAACGTCAGGCCCGACAACTGTCATCTTTGGTTCGTCGGGACTCCCTGGAGAGGATTGTACATTTTTCGAGGTAGTTTTAAATTGTTTCATGAATAATTGCAGGAAGGAAGAGGAGCTTTCTTTGGGAGGCGATGTAGCTTTTGAGGTTGAAGACCAGTTCGAGAACGAAGCGAGAATGGCGCTGCGTTTGGCGCATTTCCTTTCGTCATTCCTACAAGTGAGTTTTCAAGTTGAAATGCCTTGAAATCCGAAGTGATACTTTCACGAGGAATAGCGAAAAATGCAGAATTTCATTTGCGCTGAGTCTCATCTCAGATTCGAAATTTTTTTGTTATTAATGATATACAGTATTTTTAGCTTTGGCCACTTGAAGGAAATCGTTTCTTAAATAGATTCTGCCCCGGATAAGACGCCCTTCGAAAAGCCACCACCCTCGGCAACCGCCACTTTATTTTTAAAGACGACCTTCCCTAATTATAATTACATTGGAAACCTCGTTGAAACACTGTCCGCCAAAAATATTAGCAAGTCAATCATGCTCCTGTTCATTAACTTCGGCTAATTTCTCGCGAACATGATGCAAGTTTCTGTGAGAGGTCTCCAATTGAAAAAAAAAAAATAGAACACACACAAATATTATACAATACAGTATATTTTACTTCTTCGGAACATTCGCTGGATATAATCACGTATCTCAGGGTTATTTTGATTTTTTTTGGAAGATAAAAGGATTTTATTTCCTATTACAATATACTGCATTGGATTTTCATATTATCTTGACTTTTTTGATGAACCACCAACCTCTGTAATCCACCTACAGTTAATCTGCCTCAAGAAGTTTCTGAATATTCTTCATTTATTCTTCTCTAGGTTGTTGATCCAAAGGAAATTGGATTTTCATATTATCTTGACTTTTTTGATGAACCACCAACCTCTGTAATCCACCTACAGTTAATCTGCCTCAAGAAGTTTCTGAATATTCATTTATTCTTCTCTAGGTTGTTGATCCAAAGGAAGTTTTTGCCGAATTCCGTCTGGCAGACAAATCTTTGACAAAGGATCAGGTGATCGGCGAAGTAGTCTCTCTTTTGATGGGAAATTACAGGATCCAGAGTGCGGGTGTCTACTGGGATCGCGACGCATTTTCCGGACTAGAAAAGGGACAGTCGTTGTTTGCCCCGTACGCGTACAGAACGAAGGCGTCTCGTTCATTTCAAGTAGAGGATCAGGCGAGACTGAAAGACTATAGCGAACAGTACGTGAATAAAAATTGGTTCCAGTACCTGAAGAGCAGATGGTCGACGAACGTGGAGGAACTGAAGGAATATTTCCTGAAGATCATGATCCGCCAGAACCGAGAAGGACATCGATCTCGTGCTTATGAACATTTTCCCATTAAAATTAGGTGAGACAAATTTTTTTTATTTCTTCAAACATGCCAATATTGTTTTAAAAAAATAAAACGATTGAAGGAATAATCGCGCCGTGATCCTTCCACGATCTGATTCTTGAAATTCTGAACTTTTCCGAACTCGTACTTTCGCCTAGAAATCATAGGATTTATTGTTGGTTTAAGTTATGAACAAAAGGCGCTTTTTATTCGAGTGAAATGAAATTGACGATTTTCAATTTGTTCCTTGATGAATAACTTTGTATGAAAATTTGAAAAATCACCAGAACTCGTCTTCCCGAACTGGATCATGCACTCCACAAACTTGAGTTTAGCTAGATTCTGGCGACTCATACGTATTTAATGGGAAAATCACTTAGTTGACTTCGGATGATCAAATATGAAAAAACCAAGCTTGTGAATTGACTCGATGTGTTTTAAACGTGTATTGAAGTTCTCGGAACTTTTTACTTGAATTATATTTGTGTTTTGGATTTTTCTCCAAGATTGCCGAGTATCAAAGACGGTTGGTGGTCGACTCCATATTTCGATTGCAAAGGACTGAACAAGCAGTGGTTGATCACTTACGCTGCACCATTCTTCGGCTGGGATTCCTTGAGACATCGCGTGGAATTCAAGTGAGTGAACAGGAATTTTTACGAATTTATGGCGGACCGTTGAGGTAATTTCAATCATTTTTTCATGCGTCATTTTCAAATGCTTGTTTCGTGCTTTCAGAGGGGTGGTCACAGTGAATATGGATTTGAAGCATTTGGACTTGAACCAATGCGATCAAGAATACTTCGTGCCTAACGCTTTCAAGGACTCACACAAGTGCGATCGACAAAATTCATACGTGAGTTGTAATTTCTAATTGAAGAAAATCTGTTGCTGAGTTTAGAAGAACAATATTTTATAGTGTGTGCCAATCCTCGGGCGAGGATTTGATACCGGGGGTTACAAGTGTGAATGCATCCAAGGTTTCGAGTATCCTTACCAAGATCTCATCACTTATTTCGATGGGCAACTCGTGGAAGCTGAATTTGACAATTTAGTGAGAGACAAACCAACGAGGTATGCTTTAAAATATTCGGTCTCGTGTATTTCTTTTCAAAATTGAAATTTTATTCTTTTTGAAGGTACGACACATTGAAGTGTCGTTTGGCTGGGGCCTCGCAAATAACGTCTTGGAGACTAGCAACTTTGATAATGATCGTTTCAGCAATTGTCCTACGGACTTCGGTATAAGCTGTGTTATTTGTAGCATCCGTCCAGCGACTTGTTGTGAAGCAATGCAGAATATCATCAAAAGCGCGTTTTCCGTGTGAACTTTGCCGTCCAAGCAGTGATCATATTTCTTATTGCTCGATATGCTTTTCCGTGGTGCGTATTTTCGGGGAAAAGTTTCTGGAAATCCTCATCCTGTGTTCAGCTTCCCTTTTTTTTTCTGAGAGGGAGTGGAAACGAAATTTTTGAAAAGTTTCAGCGAAGAATCTTATTTTGCCAAAGTTAACTTCGAAACAAAATTTGAAGACGTCTTTCTACTTGTCTTCCGTTTCTGAAACCCCCTGTTTTGACGCAAACGCGAAGGTTATCGTTTGAGTTGGCATTCCTTGGATGAAAGGATACGATTGTTTTGAGGTTGTTATGCTAGTTTTATAATCTTGTTAGTCTCATTTGATCGCTGAATCATTTTATCTCTCGATATACGTTGTGTTTTTATATGTTATTGAAAGCGTGAATATTTCGCGACTGTTTTCGACATATTTGTATTTTAAGGAATCTCTTTTTTTTTGTGGGGTTCCTGAGTGCATCATTGATGGGAGTGAATCATGGAAGACCGTGATTATTAGCAGTACATGTGTTTTCATTTCCGAAGCACTGAATTCATTGCTTTCGCAGAAGGACGAGTCCATTACACGTGTATATGCGACATATTGTGTATGGATGAGATAAGCTCGCCGTGCTCAATGCAAAAAGGTTTGAAGTGAACATTTCTGGGTATGAAGCTGAATTGGATGGAAAGCTGTAGATAAGAGTCTGCCAAATGTTGACCATCCACGCATTATCTTTGGGGAAGGGGAGACGGGTCCAGACTCATTTTGTACGATTGGCGAATGACGGAAGTGGAGTATGAGGCGGTCTTCATGCGAAGTGTGCTAATGTACGTGTANGAACTGTGATGGAAAAGGTTTCATTATACTGAAGCAAATCTCTGCTCGCGTACAGTCAGACCTATTTAAATTAAATCTCCCTAACTTGAGATTTTTTTGAGTCCCTAGCAGATAAAGACAGCCCTAGTTTTCCTAGATTGAAACGAACCTCTCTTATTACGTTGAAGTTTTTGTTGGTCCTTTCGAATTCGACTTGATGGAGGTCTCGCTGTATTCGTGAATGAGAAGCCCGAAAAATGGTGGAACTTTCGATGACTCCGTGTAAATTGGTAGGGACTGCTGCTTGTGATTCTTCGCCCTTCTTCAGAAGAACTTGCCCTCATATGCAAGCAGATTAAACCTTATGATCATGTAATCAGCACTTCCCAGGAATGACAAGATCCCAGCAGCTTTTGATAGGACTGTTCAGAAGAATCTCAACCAAATTAATTTGTTTCACCTCCTCAATGGTGCAAAAACTGGATTATCCAGGATATTTTTCGTAAATCAAACATGCTTCTGAGAATGGTTCGATATATTTTCTTGGAAATCTGCAAGACAGTTTCACCCTGCCCTAATACTTTCTAGAAACATTCCTTTGAGAGCAGATGTTGTCTCTCAAGTCTCAACATATGATCCCGTAAATCCCACGCATGCAGGATGCAGCTCAAAATGATTAGTTTTGTTGGCAATCAGCAACACTGAATCTTGTCTGTCTTACTTACCCGGAAACTAACCTCCGAGTAGATGTCGCCTCTCAAAATGGATGATCCCATAAATCACACAAATGCTGCTGAAAATGGTTAGTCATATTTGCTTGGCAACCTGCGACATTGGCTCATGTCTGCCTTAACTTTCTGGAAATAAACTTTTGAGTATATGATGAAGATATGCAGTACAATACAGTACATTGTACGCATATACAGTGGTAACAGTGCTTATTTTCATTCATGAACTTGCTGGTGAATGGTCAGCACTTAGCATGAATATTTTCACCGGCATACAGTATATTCTCTTCATTATCCTCCGGATGTGTTCAATATTGTACGATTTCTGGATCAGGCGTAAAGGCGCGGATTGAGAATATTTCAGAAGCATGATGAAAAACCAGATTTCTAAAGTGCATCTCGAAGATCCGCTGACGACCCTGTCAATGCAGCGAAATAATAAGTCGTGTACAGTGGTAGATATTTTCTCGGCAACGGCGGCATCCGATTGCGTCATGAGAAAGATGGACCATCGATTGTTCGGCTACCACAAGTTATTCCGGATCCTCATTCTTCCCTCGATCATCCTCGGAATGGTACCCAGAAGCCTGCTTGAATTCATCGAGAAAAACTGCCACTTACCCGCTAGTGCTGCTAAGGATTCATCCTCATCCTGCAGCTCCAGCATTGAAAACGGAACATTCGTCAAATGGAAACGGAATTCCTTCGTGTACTGGTTCACGAGGTCCAAAGCGCAGTTGGTTTATACCGTGGCATGTCAAGTGTGCTACATCAGTGTTGTCATCCTGGGCTACGTGATCGTCATCCGGGATTCGCAGTCTACTGATGGGTTGCTCAGCAACACCACCGAGACGACGGACAGATTCGTGTTCACCTTCAACTACTGCGTAGTGACGACAGGCACTTCTGCTTGCATCGCTGCATGGATATTCTATTCGGTAATTAAGCCGTATCCCGTATGTATCTACTGCACATGCGTGGCTCATGAGTCATGAAAAATTCAAGATGTATTCAATTCAGTGATCGAATCTCGTTACGACATAACCGAAGCGTTTCGTTCCTTAAAAAAGCTTCGTTATAAACAAAATACGTTAAAATCAAAGTAAAAGAAAATTATGATTGGATGGATATAGGACAGCCAACTGAACTAAAGAACTGAACTATAGATCTATAGAACTATAGTTAACTGAACTATATAGGATAACTGAAGAAACAAATTCGCTGCTGCATGCTGTAAGCATTACAGTAATTTGTTACGACGAGATTTTTTTCATCGAAATTCTGCTATATATAGTTAGTAGCAAGTAAGTGCGAGAACTTCAGCAGTGGAAAATTCATATAATAAAAAAACACAGTACACAAATTTCATCTTCTTATGAGACCAGACTGTACATGTACGTATTATACAGTTGAATCTCACCAAGTCAAATGTTAAGAACATCAAAAATTGAATACAGTATTTATAGATTAATCGAGCACAATTATTTTCTGTCCTAATTATTAAAAGTGTTACAGCATGTAAATATTCTTGGGATGTACATATGGTGCCTGCAGGAATAAGATATAGACCCCAATTTTTGAAAGACCTATACTGTACAATAAAAAAATTTGCATTGCAAATTTTCTCATGTGGAAAATACCTTGCAGACATGTAATCGCATTGCGTATAGAACAGCATGGCGATAATACATTTGAATTTTTTTTCTTGGTTTTCTAATACAGTATATATAGGTACTCTAAAATTTAGCCCCAAATTAACAACAACTTTTTTACTTTTTACTTGCTATTTCTCTCGAAAAAATTGGATCCCTCGGCCCCCATTGGGCCGAAAAACCAGCTGCGCTGTTTTATTAATTTAAATGCAATTTTGTATTTTATACGCAGACACCAAAGATGGCGGAATCTTGGCAAGCCTTTGTGGATGGAGTGGACGTCATGCGGAAAGCCAGCATGAGTTTTGGCGCTGAGGCCGTCAGTCCTCGCGCATTGTGGATCTGCGCCGGAATCCAATTCATCACTTACCTTTTCACTTTTGGCATTCAAATCTACGTTTGCTTGATTCCGTACCTGAATGAAATTTCACTCGGGTTTTGGATTGCCTACTTTGTCGGTCTCCTGTACACGTAAGGTTCTGTATATTTGCGATTTATAAAGGCGGAAAATCTAGGGTGCTTCTATATGTACTCATAGTGTTCCCAAACCATTTTGTGTCTGCGGACTGGCAAATTTCCATACAACTTTTTGCAGACTGGCAAAGCTTCAGAAAAGTTTTTCAGGCTAAAAAAAAGTTTTGCTTGAAAGACTTTATGGCAGGTAGTATAAAATTTTCTGCAAAAATTAACCCTTGGGTGGCAAAGTTGGACTTTTTCTGCAAAATGTTGTGTCTGTGTGAACAGAGGTTAAAAAAAAGAGCAACAGTTCACCCAGGGTGAAGTCCCGCCAATTTCATGTGTATTTTTTTTTTAATCCACAGAAAAAATATGCCCAAAAAAAATGCATCACCACGGCTGAGTTTTTTTTAGCCTCTCTCTGGATTAGTTGCATTCTTCTGAGATTCTCAACCTTTCCATTTTGCGCACCAGAAAAATTCAGAGGCAAAAAAGATTAGCAGAAAAAGTCCAACTTCGGGGAATATTGTAGTAGCAATTCTTTGTGCCAGACAAAGTCCAACTTTCCCCTAGGCCACCTGGCTTGGCTTTCATAGCCTTCAAGAAAAATGAAATATGAAACCGCCATAAAAAATCCCAACTTAGTTCTGGGATGGGAAAGAACCCTTTCATGCAGAAGGGTCAAAGAACCAATAAATCAGCCATTATGGCGAAATGTCTTTGGAAAATCAGAAAAGTGGGCTTGACAAAAGATTTCTCAGAATGAAAATTAAAATTTTTTTCAGCAGGTGAAAATGTGTCTGAAGTGTTATGATCAGAAATGTCAGCTTTCCTTTTTCATCAGATTATTTCAACTGTCATTGCCTTTCACAGATTTCAGATGAAGATAAGACTTCATTGCTAATTTTTAAAAATCGATTATGCAGAGGAAAATTTCCTGCAGATACCAACAAAAAAATTGGCAACGAGTTGTTCATTTGTTTGATGTTTTATATATAGCAACCTGATCATTTGAAATTATGAACCAACTAACCCCAAATTCTGAAGCACGTTTATCACCTGAAAAAAAAATTTTTAGAGCATGATATACAGTAGTTTGCTGCATTATTTTTTACTCAATTATTTCATTATTTTGTGCTCAGCCGAGAAGACATCTTACACTAATGAACTTTTGATATTATAGGCACCTACAAATAAGTTCTTGTTCTAAAAATTGAAAAAAAACATTTCAAGGAAGGATTATACCTGAAAAGTGACAACAACTTTGTAAACTGTGTTCTGCTTTGATTGTAAATATTTTTGGTGTGAATATTGTGATAAATCAGCCCTTTCATGGAAAGCAATTATTTGTGTATCAGGACTGAAACTGTATTTTGCCAGGGACATCACAGGATGTTGGAGCTTTGTGTCAACCAACATCATGTTCATGGTCACAGCAAAAATTGCAATTGAATTTTCGTTGCATTTCGAAAAAGCTGTAATGACGGCAGTGGAAAGTTCTGCACTGGCCAGGGAGAGAAAAAATGTAAAACATTATCAGCACGCCGAAGGTCAGTATACATAAATTTTACCATAAAAAATGATCGGAAAAGAATGGCAATTTCCCCGCATTCTCAACAATTTTAAAATATAAATTACTGACTTTGGCATTCAGCAGGAAAATACAGCTGTTATCATCACCAGCAGGATGAAGAAGACTTGGTGTCAACATTGGAGAACATTCGTAAGAGCTACATTTGTTTCCGGAAACATTTCAGCAATTTTTGCTCCGTCAATCATTACCAACTTTCAATTACGTATGGGTTTGGCTGCTGCATTATCATGACGTCCTCTTATTTCGCAATTTCCAGAAGTGTGAATGGTAAG